TGCCCAAGGCTTTATAGCTTTTTTTCATTTTGATTAAACATGTTGATTTTTACCATGTTTTCCTATTTTTGTTAGAATTTTCATTTTAAAGAGTCTAAACCTGTTAGTCATCACTTTGTTTTTTTGGTTGCGAAAATACAAGAGGGCGAGGGTAATCAGATTCAGAATTGAGCTTAATAAACAAAAACATGATGACTATAACGGCTAAGACTTTGTTTTCTTTATTTTGTAGTTAGTTTTTTATAATTTTGAATTCTTTTGTTTTTCGATTTTGAGATTTTTTTAATATTTGGTTTGTTAGCCCAAGGCTTAAATACTTTTTTTTTATGTTTTATTATTTTGCTTAATATTTTCATTTTAACAAGTCTAAACCCGTTAGTCATTAGTTTGTTCTTTTGGTTGCTAAAATATAAGAGGGTGAGGGTAATAAGTTCTTGAGCTTAACAAGAAAGAACATGATGATTCTAACGGTTAAGACTTTTCTTCTTATAATTATGTATTCTTTTAATGATTCTGAGCTTTTTTGTTTTAATATTTGGTTTACATGCCCAAGGCTTTATAGCTTTTTTTCATTTTGATTAAACATGTTGATTTGGAAAATTGGATGAGTTTTAGGGTAAGGCCCATGTGAAGGACTTGGGCCTAATTTGGAAAATTGGGCCATAGGTGGGCAAAACTGGGCCTTTATGATTATGAGATATTGGGCCATTGATATACCAATAGTTTGGACTAGAATTAATGGATGGGCCTTAAGGAAAGACCATGTAGAGGTCTGGGCCCAATTTGAAAATTTGGGCCATATGTTGGGCTTTGGCCCATTACTTGACTATTGGGCCTTTGGAGTGTGACTGTTGGGCTTTGTATTGTTTAATGTTGGCAGTTCGGGAATCTGTCATCCAGCAGCTAACCACCAGCTGGAGTTTCATCCGCGGGACTTCAGCAGTGCCAGGTGAGTTATCCTCACTATACTAAGGGGTCTAAGGCACCAAGGCCGGCCTATTGGATATGATATCCTAGCAATTGGTAGTATGTTGAGCATGAGTTAGTGTTGCATGCTAGTTGCTATGCTAGTTAGGTAGATTTGTAGGACTACCTATGTTATTATGTGATTATATATGTATGCGCATTAGTTGTGTTATATGTTGACATATTATGTGGGATGGGTTGAGGTGATACTGCTCCGTACGGTAACCAACAAACCCGGGAGCATTCCAGATACGAGCTGAGGGCCAGGTGGGGCATGCCAGACTCGTACTGTGGGCTCGGGAGCATTCCAGATACGAGCTGAGGGAGACTCGTACTGTGGGCTCGGTGGCAAACCAGATGTGAGCTGTGGGCCCGGAAGGCAATCCAGACTCACACTGTGGGCCCAGGGGTAATCCAGTCTGTGGAGCATTCCAGATACGAGCTGAGGGCTAGGTGGAGCATGCCAGACTCGTACTGTGGGCTCGGGAGCATTCCAGATACGAGTTGAGGGAGACTCGTACTGTGGGCTCGGTGGCAAACCAGATGTGAGCTGTGGGCCCGGAAGGCAATCTAGACTCACACTGTGGGCTCAGGGGTGATCCAGTCTGTAAAGCTGTGGACCGAGTACATGCTGTTATTTGTATATGTGTTATTTGCAGTGTATCGGTATTTTGGGGGAACTCACTAAGCTTT